CTTCCGTAAATCAAGAAGCTTACCAACCAGCATTATAAACTTCCGGAATATAACCCATCTCCCACCAATTCACGACATTTGCATGTTTCTACTAACCAGGGAGCTTAAGTTTGTGTTCCATACGTGTTTAATCCAATGACCGGAGTAAGGATAGTGCAAGCGCTTAACAATTTGCGCTATTTAAATCTACCATTATTATTATTATTATTATTATTATTGTTATTATTATTATTATTAAATAAAACATCACATTAGTAAAAAGGAATTAACAAAAAAAAAATTTTTTTATCTTAAATAAACATTTAACTAATATATATTTTGTTAATGTATACAATCTTGAGCAAATGGACAAAATTAAATAGCCGAAAAAAAATAGCAGAGCTATAAAGGTGATCCCATTTCTGATAACATAAATTAAAAAATAATCAGTAGTTTTAGATTGAGCTAAATCTGCTTGTAAATCTGTCCAAATCTTATTATTTATTTCTTCTAATAAATCAAAATGCTTTTTTTTTTCACAGAAACCATGATTGTCAGAACTCTTTTACCATTTAAAATTTTAATAATTGTTAATAATAAAAATTGATTTTTGTGAAGAGAAATTTAAAAGTCTTATACAAGATGCATTAACCAATAAAACGTTCTCATGTAAGAAAATAAATTGGTGGATTATTTTTGTTATGCACAATTATAGCGTAATTATGTGGTTACCTGCCCAACAGGCACTTGCTGCAATATATGACAAAAAAAAAGAGTAACAAAAGCATTAGTTGAAGCATTATATCCTGTACGTCAACTAATAAAACATTTTGTGTTTGCAATATTTCATTAATTTCCTTACTACAGTAGGCAGGTGTTTCATGACGGCATTTTCAAATTTTATGTTATTCAAAAACTGCCTTGTAAATTTTGGTTTTTTTTTATATGCTTACGTGGTTGTCTCTTTATATCTCTCTCTACTGCTAAGCAGTATTAGTCTTGATCATATTGAGCTTGTGTATGTTCACTGCCTAGCCTAGATTCTCATCGAACTTTATGAACAGTTACTTTAGAATGCCATATCTTGAAATATGACAAGACATTTTAGTGTAAATATTTATTCCAACATGGATAAAGTAATCTACTGGAGTGTGTACACAAACTATGTTGAGTATCTAGATTAGGATTAGTTTTAAGTCATGTGATTTCAGAGCCCAGTCACACTGTATTATATCAGCCCATGGTCGCCTTAACTACGGCCGACTCAAAACAACTGTTCCCTTTGCGGTTTAGTATTTTTAGTCCGCTCAGGGTCGCACTGTGAATGTTCACACTTCCTCCTTTGAAATGTTATGGTATAAGATGTCAAAATTGACTGCTATCATAGCGACTCTGGCAACCTAGCTTCAGTTATGAAGATGAGTCGGCCCAGGTCCAACAATGCAGGACCTGATTCAACTTACCAATTTACGGTTGGCTTTGTGCCGGCTTAAAATTTATTGATTAACTATTAAGTGCCGTGTGCTACATAATTACTTATGGCTAGACAAAACTTTGTTCCGAGCAGTAGGGTCCTTTCAGCATTCTTGGACATTTATTTTGGTTCCATGAGCTTAAAAATTGTAAAATTCAAGTCAATATATAATGTAGTGCCAAATTTAATTTTATTAATATACATTTAAAAATTTGAATGAAAAAACATTTTCCCTGTCAATAATAGACCTTTCCGGAGTGTCAATCAAACTTAACAACTGACTAATCAGAACAGTGCTAGGGATACGCGTGCGTCTTACAAACACACGTGTTGTCCCACAAACGCACGTGTTCGCGTATGTTTTAACACTGTCGTCTTGTGGGACCTTAGCAACAATATCCAAGGGGCGGGGCTTAGCGGAAAGGTCCATTAGTGGACAGTTCAATAATACCGTATTCTTTAAACCCTTTTGCTATTTAATAGATTTATATTTAATTGTATTTTGCTGTGTTTCCTCTGTTGATAGTTTTCTGTATTGTGCTGTGTATAGTCTGAACTTAGTAGAAATATTAGGTTGTTGTTTATAAGTTGCCTGTAGCAATTGGCCAGATATAAGTCATTGCAGTTCAATGATCTTCCAAGATTACATTTCCTGATTTGGTCATTAATGTGAACATACTGTAGACTCTGTCTATTATACACATCTAGATGTGTATAAGAGACAGGCTATAAAGGTGATCCCATTTCTGATAACATAAATTAAAAAATAATCAGTAGTTTTAGATTGAGCTAAATCTGCTTGTAAATCTGTCCAAATCTTATTATTTATTTCTTCTAATAAATCAAAATGCTTTTTTTTTTCACAGAAACCATGATTGTCAGAACTCTTTTACCATTTAAAATTTTAATAATTGTTAATAATAAAAATTGATTTTTGTGAAGAGAAATTTAAAAGTCTTATACAAGATGCATTAACCAATAAAACGTTCTCATGTAAGAAAATAAATTTTTTGGTTCCATGAGCTTAGAAATTGTAAAATTCATGTCAATATATTGTAGTGCCAAATTTAATTTTATTAACATACATTTAAAAATTTGAATGAAAAAACATTTTCCCTGTCAATAATTAGTAGACAGTTCAATAATACCGTATTCTTTAAACCCTTTTGCTATTTAATAGATCTATATTTAATTGTATTTTTGCTGTGTTTCCTCTGTTGATAGTTTTCTGTATTGTGCTGTTTATAGTCTGAACTTAGTAGAAATATTAGGTTGTTGTTTATAAGTTGCCTGTAGCAATTGGCCAGATATAAGTCATTGCAGTTCAATGATCTTCCAAGATTACATTTCCTGATTTGGTCATTAATGTGAACATACTGTAGACTACAGTACAGTAATCTTTATATCTCGAAAAGTGTTAGTTGTGATTGTATATATCACTTGCTTATTATGGTTGGCTTAACAACAATAACTTGTACTTTTACTAGGTTTGCAGTATCCTTTGCATGAACCTTGTAATGAGGAAATTTTAATTCTTCTTGCATATGACATACATCATCAAACTATATTTCTCCGGGTTTTTTTTTATTATTTCAATTATTTAGTATTATTTAATTATTTTTTATTATTTCTAATTTTCGATTTTTTTTAAAAATTAATTAATTAATTAATTAATTTATAAATAGTATTTACAGAGCATAGGGTAGTGGAAGTCAGGCATTACAAGGACAGGTGTAACCTAGCCAGCCAGTTTGTAGTAGCATGTCTTCACTGACTTCACCATAGTACCATTATAGCTTTTACTAGACTGAATATTGATCAGTTTGTCGAAGTATATTGAGTGTCATCAATTGGAAATTACAAAAAATGGTGCCATAACCGTAAAATATATTCTGATATTGTTTGGTCCCTCAGTTTGTAAAAGTTCATCTCTGGTCCCCTCACCTATTCCCAGATCTCCTACTGTGAGTGTATATTAGTGTAAATGCGCTTTACTGACGTTTGCAATATTATAATTACATTGAACGGATTATTTGCCAATAGAATTTGTCATTATCATCTTTTTAAAGATGATTATTATGATGAAGGTATATGGTAAATGTCTTTCTGATTCATAAAAATCGTTACAGTTTATAATATTCTCGTATATCAGTTGGAATACTACTTTCTGACTAATCGAGTAGGAATGTAAAATTTAGACACATCTTTCCGGATTATTAGTGTTTAAAGGCCAGGAGATTACGTTATTGATCAATAATGTTTTTCAAACAACACTACCATGGAAATTAATAAGTGCATTACAAACATTCTAAACAATAATCTCTTGAGAGGTTCCATTTTTAATTAAATGCAATGAACTTCACCCTTTTTTTCAAAAAGTGATATATGAATAAGGTTGCACATCTCTTATTTTGTTATCAACAATTTTTTCATTTATAATTCAAAATCTGCAACAGCAGGGGTGTGTGAACTGTGTTCCTTGATGTACACAAGATAAGTACCGCGTTCACATGTCTTGGGTCGCTCGCAAGCGAACGATCGGCTCGCGAGCCGTGCCTTCATGTGAACAACCGCTCAAGAGCGGTTTTTGTCGTGGGTGACCCACGACAAGCCGCTCGCGAGCGGCTCTCGATCCAGCTCGCTCTTGATCCATGTGAACAGCCGGTTGCGAGCGGGTCGCCAGCGAGCTGTGACCTCTTTTGTGTGAAAGCCAATCAGATACAAGCATCTCCTCGGGGTCAAAGTAATGGAGAAAAGTGTGACTCCACGTTTCCTGGTTACCGGTTTCGCTGGGCTAAACAAACCTTGATCGTCCATTTTTTTTTTTTTGTTTCGCAGTGCACTGAGTTTTGTAGTACAGTATTTGATATCGCTATTTCCGTAAATTACATTGTATAATCCAGTTTTATTTTGGGAAAACACTAATACTAAATAATCTATTTACCATATATCGTAAGTGCATCTTCATTTCGAATCATAAGTTACAAAAATTATCATTTTAATATCTTCCGGAGCGTAGGTTTAGGGGACGTTGGTACACCGCCGATACGTACGTCATATCACTTAATTGTGTGTAGAAAAAATGTACGAGACGATATCCACGAGTAATATTACTTTTAAGTTAGTTGTTATGTAGTTAAGTAACTTTCAAGTCTACATAAATGGTAAATAGTGTACCACGCCATTCGTAACTCTACTTCAGCCAACGTCATGAACTTGTTTGTAAATAAAATATATTTTTTTTTACACTTTCAAAATACAGCACAGTAAATGCAAATGCTATTTTCACAAACATTATACATAGGCCTACACTATACCTGTATTAACGTCTACAGTTCAGCAGTTGTGAGATACAGTGAGTTAAAATTGTTTGATATTGGGATGTGGCGATTAACATTTATGAAAACGTCAATCCTAAGTTTTAAAATAAAAATAAGCACATTACCCCTGTACTGACATTTCTTATTTTTGAAGTTGATAAATGGCATTGATATTGCTTGATTGGGTCAAGTGAGAACAACAATGTTCATTTTTATTTCCATTTCAGGAGCAGCATGGAGAGTTGAAGATGAAGAGACCAGTATTCCTGCACCAATGCCCAGCCTCGAGGACACACCATTTAGCAAGTCGTCTTCACAACTCTACTACCCAAACACATCAACAGCAGTAAGTACAACATTATCTTAAACCTATTTAGCATCTGTATTTGACTCATGAGGCTTGCATTCTCAAAATAGCGTCAGTGTCCAAAACAAAAATTATTTTTTAAAAATAATAATATTAATGTTCTCCACATTACTGAGCTTTAAAATGATGGGTCATTGCAATGGACTTACTATTGACAAAGTTATGTGTAAAAGTATTACTGTTTAGCTTCTCTGTAGTAATGTATACAAAATACTGCCACAATCTTTATGCTAATTACTCAGAATAACAATTAGCAACAGTACGCTAGTTTTGGAAGGGCAAGCCTCATATGGTTTCCACCATACGTTGACCAAAGTTTCAGAAATGGCCTATTCTTCTAACTTGGTGCAGGTCCTATTGTTGTTTTTATTATTATAGACATTTTATCACCATTTAGGCTATATTACTATTTATTGAAGTTTGACTTTGAACAAGAGGAAGAATGTCTGTGTCGATTTTGTCAATGATTTCCAGCTCCAGTATTTCCAGTATTCGTTCTATTGTCCTTTCACAATTCTGTATTAAGTTGTTTTTTAACAACCCGACTACTTCTCCCCAATTGGTGGGAAAATTTTTGTGTGAGAAGATAATTTCCTATTGTGTAGTTAGGTGGGAAAAATGTATAGAGATATCCAAGCATGCTTTTGTTATTACAAAAAGAAAACTGGTAAGATTTCGATATCATAAACCTTTGTATGAACCCACATTGTTTTGAAATAGTAGTGGGTCTTACAGCAAGTGTATCAAGATTTGAGCATACTGTATCAAGATTTGAAGATTTGAGCGTGTGGATCTGAACATGTGACTGTGATTATGGTCAATACTATGAGGAATCATAATCATTCATCCCCAGTCAAAACACATATTTTCTTAATAACAAATGATGTCACAAATATCTTGCCTGTTGGGTACGATTACAATAACAAACACCAATACCGCTTTTCTAAAGTAATGACGTTATTGAGGGTTTTTTTCTAAGTAATAAAGAGATTTGTAGATTCAGCTGAATACATTTAATTTAATACACTTCACTAAAAAGACTTTTGACAGACCAGGAAGGTTATGTATATTTCTTTCTGATTATACAGTATAACTAAGAATTTCACCATTCCTTTACTACACTGTTAAGCATTCACCAATGAAATTTTATTTTTCTTTTCTCCGTCTAGATGTTTTTGACAAAACTATTTGCTAAATAAGAAAACAAATTTTTGTTTTAATGTTTTTCCGCCCTCCTCTGATAAATTTGTGATAAAAGGTATAAAAATGTCTTGCCTTATTATTGAGTATGACGACTCACTGCCACTAGCAGGGATGAGTGGTCTGGGATCATTGAGGTTTAGGCCCTTGTGAGCCTTCTCTTTGTCAATCAACACTATGAGAATGTATTATGTTTTAAATAACTTTACTTGTGCTTGTGCAGCCATGACCAAAATTCTGTTTACTGTTCCTACCGATATGTGGAAATACAGTATGGCCGATCAGGAACGATTCACTAATTAATGTATTTTTACACAGAATTTTACAATCTGTTGCCATTTTATTTTGGTATCTGATCAAAAATGTCAGGATACAATTTGGAAAATCACCAATAATAATCTTTGTATAAAACTCCGGCGCACTGCATAGGTTTGATTGGTTGGAATGCCCAAAGGCTTTTGTGACTAATTCAGTGTATTCAACACATATTGTCAGGTAAATTATTATAATACGTCAGACAACAAATCACAGTGTGCATAATTTTACGTAAACAAAACTTTCGGAACTTTGAGGTCAATGAAGATGTGTATAAGAGACAGTCTTAAACCTATTTAGCATCTGTATTTGACTCATGAGGCTTGCATCATTTGTGGAATTAACAATTATTTTCCCCCATTAGTCTACTTGTTAAGTTTAATCACCTTAGTCTTAATTTTAATTGTATTATTATCACTGCATCAGTGAACAATGCCAAATAGTAATCTTAGATTAAAATATAATTACATAAAATGGATGTTATGAAACACATTCCCAAATTCAATTGAATTCAAAATATAGTAGTAAGCTTATATATATACTTTTGTAAACTTAATCTACTATGAATATTTTTGTACTGTTTTCAATATTTTTGAATGTTTTTATTGTGAATTTCATCGATTTTATAGTGATTTTATATTGTATTACTCTATGCTCCCTGTTATTGGTGTTCTCGCTGTTGGGGGTGAAACGAAATATTTTAAAATTTCAGTACAAAAATATTCATAGTAGATTAAGTTTACAAAAGTATATATATAAGCTTACTACTATATTTTGAATTCAATTGAATTTGGTAGTGTGTTTCATAACATCCATTTTATGTAATTATATTTTAATTTAATTAAGATTACTATTTGGCATTGTTCACTGATGCAGTGATAATAATACAATTAAAATTAAGACTAAGGTGATTAAACTTAACAAGTAGACTAATGGGGGAAAATAATTGTTAATTCCACAAATGATGTATTACTGAAACAACATAGTGATAATAAAATTCCCTGATAGATTACAGTAATGTACATATTTCTTTACTGCCATCCCTGGTGGATTATTAATCTACCCAGGTGGCCACATTTCGAGGAACTCATTTCTAAGAAGTTGTTTTCAAACCATATAATTATTTATTGTCTGTGACATTTCTGATTTCCCAAGTGGTTTATATAAGGATATCATTGAAACAAATTGTTCCCATCATAGATTATCATAAATCAAGCTGATACAGTCTTGTTGATCTTTCCCAATTTATTATACGCTATTTCATCATTGCCGCAAGGTGATCAGAATCTATGTCATTTAAATCTATATCAATATTGTTGATAGGAGTGTTGTTTTGCCTACCTGACATGTTCTCGTACCGAATACTCAGTTCGTTCCCAAATACTTACGAGTGATTCGGGTGGGAATCGAACCCAAGACCTCCAGATAACTAGCCTTCCACCATAACCACTGACTACTGAGCTTCTGCTTAGTTACTAGTGTTGAATTCAATCCCCAATATTGTTGATTTTAAGTTGTTTTTTGCTCTAATATTTCTGATTGATGAAAGAAAAATCAGGTTTAGTGAATTGTAATAACAAACAGATTAATTGAATACTGTAAGTTATTATTTAGATTATTTAAAATAACTCTTCTGCGGTCCTGTCTTCTCTATTTAAACGCTTAATTAAGATGAGGGTGAATATCTTTCAGATCACTGTTTTGTGTGATTGCCTGAAGGGCTAGTGCTGTGCCACACCACACTTGAGTGTGAAGGAAGTCACTTTCAATCATATTCAGAATTTCCTGAAAGTCCCAGTGACCTGGTTGTAGTAGAAGACCTGAGTTTCTCTCGTGGTTAGGGTGATTTGTTTCACTCTGGTTTTAAACATATATTTCCCCCATTACCGTAATGTTAGATTCTACCCTTATATTTAATTATATTTAATTATCTTTTATTTATCTTATTTTTTATCCTTATATTTATTTATCATAATATTAACTGTTAATGTAGATTATTATAACTTATTGATTTTTGATTTTTTTTTTTTATAATTCTGGATAAATTTAGTTTATTTTTATTTTACATTGAACTTGGTTTGAAAAGTCATTGTGAAAGAAATTAAATTGGTTGATATGGGAAAAAAAACAAATTAAGCACAATAGACTGTAATGATTGAAATTAGGCACACCCAAGTTTAGCAACAGCCAAATAAAGAGGATGTAATTAGCATTAAAGGTTGTTTTAAATTGATTAATAGAATGTTACTTAATCATGCTGATGAACATGACATCATGTGGTTAGATCACTTTTGGGTTTTTTTTTAACCAAAAAGGAAATGAGGGTATTTTTTTCTTAATTTGATTAAATTTCCACATAAAAAGGAAAGTGATATAAAATTGACGTCTAATATGTTAGCATGTTCATTGAGAATTTTTGCCAGAAGTAGCTTATTACGCCTTTCAGTCAATCGATTAATAGAAAGTCTCCACAACGAACAAGAGGAAATAGAACATAAATTGGATCGGCATGACGGTATGTGTATGTGACGGTAACCTAACCGCATGAGTCTGTTCCTTCTTTCAGGCGTGTGATGGTGACAAGAAGGTAAGAGGCAACGGTGGATCTAGCAGCTTTTCTAAACTCGCGAGACGACTCAGTCAAAAAGGTGAAAGACGAAACACTATCGTGGAACATACAACACCTATTGCAAGGAAACCTGCAATTGACAAGTACGTAATATATATTTTATATACTATAGAATAATTTTTCTTTAGTATAACAAAAACATAGGATATAAAAGCTGTAATTTGGTGGTAGAAGTGCCGGCTTTCAAATTCTAAAATCTTAGTTCAAATCCTGTAAACATTTCAGGATTTATTCTAAATCCAAATTAATTTGGATTTGTATTACTGATTGTAAAATATTTTTTCCATTTGAAAAATACTTAGTATCAAATAAGACACATAATAGATACATTTTAATCAACTGAGTTGCTAGACTGAAAAAGTAATGGCTTCACAAGTGATGGATAGTCTACATTTACTTAATTATGTTTATCTACATTAATTTTGCTTTAGAGTAAATCATATAATAATGTTATCTCTGTTTAAAAAGCAAAAATAATAAACGGTTAATTAAAATTAAGCCTAAAATTTTAATTTAGAGGAGCAGTGTGGTATTGAACTTACTTATGAAAACAATAGTTTGACAATTTGTATGTACTCGTGCATTCAAATATTTTTCTGATAATTTTGAATTTCCCCTAAACTATACTCAAGTTGAGTGAGCTTCGTTTATTTTTCATCAGATCTGAAATCCGTAAAGCTCATAGTCTTGAAAGCCTGCATCCGGAAACAACAGAAGAAGATCAGGTGAACTCGGCGATTCCAGCTTCACCATCTTTGCAGAACCGCTTACAGCGTACCTTATCCAGCAAGAAAAGGGGATCTAGCAGCTCGGAGTCTGACGGCTCAGGAAGTAAAGTAGAGAAAGATAAAAATCGTCGCACATCAAAAGCTAATTTTAGTGACATTACCGGTGAGGAATATATCTGTGACCGACATTTCTTGATGACACATTTTGACTGTTGTATGCCCATATATAATCATGATGTGCCTATATATGGTCATGATGTGATGTCATCATGACCATATTTAGGCATGTGACATGTTTGTCAAATATAATATGATATTCTGGGTAGGGCTTTAGATGACCCCTAGTTTTTTGTACTGATTTCTAAGCCTACTAATTATTATTACATATAATATATATCGCTATGCCTAAAGGCAACGCAACATTTTTCTTTTCTTTGCATTATTAGGCTTAAACAAATTCAGATTAGTAGGCCACAGTGATTGGACAAAATTTTATGTTGACAAAATTTAGAATTTGCAATAATAGAATATAATACAATAATCTAGAATTTAAGAAAGGTTATAAAGTACTTAAACCAAAGCTTAAAGTACTTGATGTGGTTCACCTCAACAGGTTTGTCATTGTCCACATCAACAACAGACTCAAAGACTGCATAAAAATGTAACGATGATGAATATTATTTTTATCCATATTGTAAATGAAAGAAATTGCAAAGCATCCTATTTTTCTTAAGTAATTTAATTCCTTTTTTTTTTTGCATTAAATTACTGACTCTTAACCACAGCACTTGTAGGGCTTTGAGGATAAAGTAACTCATTCACATATCCTTTTGAATAAATTACAGTAACAACTTGTTTACCAACATTTTTTTTCTAATACAATTTTTATGGATTTTCCTTATTTTCATCATCATAATTGTCTTCTATGGCTAGACATGATACTCTATTATATTTTTTTAAATATATTGTTCCACAACAGAATTTGTGCTTGATGACTCGGCAAACTAGAATAACAATACCAATATTTCTGTTTCTTTTTTATAACTTTTTGTTCATATTTCATGCTTGAAAGTACCACTGGTGGGAACTGAACGGTTGCAATAGGGTTATTAATAAGTCTTACTCATTAATATTGATAGTCATTTATTTATTTAATTTAAAAAATATTTTCAGCACTTTTTGATGCAGTTCATAATCAAGAAGTAGACAGAGCGAAATATATCCTAGATTGCAATGGTTTAGATATCAATGCTGTTAACTCTGATGATTTCACACCATTGGATGTTGCGATTATGGTACATAACACAGCAATGGCTAAGTTACTACTTGCCTTCGGTGCTAGAGAAAACCCAAAATGTGAGTTCATAATAATTCTGCAGATGTTTATTAATATAAAAACCATACTTAATTGAATAAATTTATTTTTGAGGGTTTTTGAGGGATGTTTATATGAAGGAGGCATTTATTAAATTATTTATTTATTTTTTTTTTTATTAATTTATTTATTTTTTGAGTGTAAAATGGAGATGTTTATTAATATAAAAACCATATTTAATTGAATACATTTATTTTTGAGGGTTTTAGAGGGATGTTTATATGAAGGAGGCATTTATTTATTTTATTTTATTTTTGAGTGTAAAATGGATACGTATATACTTAAATAAACACCCTTAATTTAATTGTATATTTGGAACTAAAAAACATAATTACTGTCAAAATGTGATTCATAACCAGATTAGAAAAACTAATTCTTCTGGAGTAGAACATTAAAATAATGTGTTGAGAATGGTGTTGCTTCCATGGCGTTTATTCGATGGAGGTATTTATGAATATTAAATGGACAAAATTAAAATTAAAATCATTAAAAAAAATTTTTTTGGTTTAATAATGTTAAATATAACCAAAAGAAAAATTAAGATAAATGAAGTCTCTGCTTGATTATTTCAATATATCCAAGATAATTTATATGTAAAGCATTAGTAAAATTTTCCATAGATGTACTGTATAAAATCCTTCAGTGTATTTTGATATTGAAATGGATCAGTGATTGTGATTGAGATTATTTAATTGTTCTGATTTCATAGCCATATCATAGGCAATAAAATAGGCCTACAGCTGTTTTGCTCATTTTAAAATTATATCTTCACCTAGATATGTCTTTTTATTTTGTCGTTCTGGATTCATGTTTCCTCAAATCTTATTTCTTTTATTGATATGTCAACATGAACTGTAGAACATTTGTTATTTGTTCAGATTTACACAAAGATGCACGTGCCTCAAAACTTAACACCCTCATTAACGAAGCAGAAAGACAAGTCCAAGAGCTGACTTCACGTGCTGTCAACAACACCGGCTCAAGTCAGTCTGTTAATAAGGTTAGTAGATTCAAGATTTCATTTATTGTCCAAATTGGAAATACAAGGCAGCAAACAATTCATTGCAAGGTTAACAAAATATATAAAATATCTATCAAAATTATTGAACATATGACTATAACACATAATTAAATAATAATAATAAAGAGCAAACATGTTAGAAGTAGGAATAGTAGCTTTTATTTGGTATTCAAGCTTCTATATATATCTAGCGGTTTATTAAAAGTGTGAATGATATTTAAATGTGGGTTCCAGATTTAAAATTTCTATTAAAATAAACTGTAATGGTAATGTGTTCTAAACTTGATGTTACAAGAACAAGATTTCCAGAATAGGTTCATAATCACAAATGATGGCTTAATTCAAGTTGTGTATTGATAAAGCATAAAGAATTATGTAATTGGTGGAGCATTTAGGGAATTATGTAATTGGTGAAGCATAGGGAATTATTTAATTAATGAAGCATAGGGAATTATGTAATTGGTGGAGCATTTAGGGAATTATGTAATTGGTGAAGCATAGGGAATTATTTAATTAATGAAGCATAGGGAATTTTGTAATTGGTGAAGCATAGTGAATTATGTAATTAATGAAGCATAGGGAATTTTGTAATTGGTGAAGCATATAGGGAATTATGTAATTGGTGAAGCATAGGGAATTATGTAATTAATGAAGCATAGGGAATTTTGTAATTGGTGAAGCATTTAGGGAATTATGTAATTGGTGAAGCAGATAGGGAATTATGTAATTAATGAAGCATAGGGAATTATGTAATTAATGAAGCATAGGGAATTATGTAATTGGTAAAGCATAGTGAATTATGTAATTAATGAAGCATAGGGAATTTTGTAATTGGTGAAGCATATAGGGAATTATGTAATTATTGAAGCACATAGGGAATTATGTAATTGGTGAAGCATAGGGAATTATGTAATTTTTGGAGCATAGGGAATTATGTAATTAATGAAGCATAGGGAATTTTGTAATTGGTGAAGCATATAGGGAATTATGTAATTGGTGAAGCATACTGACAAGTACAAACAGCTCATATTTTGATAAAAATGAGAGATGAATCTACATCTCATTTTGGTATTTTCACCTTTCCCCAGGTAGAGTAGTAATCTGTTTATGCACACATATGGAAGGCAGGCCAACTAAGCTATATTATTATAGACATGTAGTACTACCCAGCATAGCTTTTTGGCCATCCTTCACTTTTGATAAATCCCTGTATATTATACATTATCTATTCATGGTGTGTTTCTCTTCGTCAAGGAAACGGATAAGAGGCTAAGGGATTGGGAATGGAAACATCGACTGTTCCGACGAATGAAAGCAACATTTGAACATGCAAGTAAGTTACATAAAGTTTCAGAAAAATAACACTAGTAGTGAGGTGTAATAATTCCAAAAGAGGAAAAAGTGTTAAAATGAACAGATAGGCTATACTGTATTTATTTAACAATTGACTTAACAATAAATTTTAAAAAGATCGATTAAATAGTGTTTATGTTCTTTCGTTTTTTTAATTAATATTTTTAATGTAAATATGATATAGTACTATTTTTATATTGTTATTATTAATGTTACTGTTAACATTCCTTTTTCTTTATTTACAGGACCTCCTGAACCTCCACAAAATGTAAATATTAGTGTCACTAGCAGCTCTTCCATATCTGTTCAGTTTGATGAGCCAAGCAATAACAATCTAGGAGTTATAACACGATACAAAAGTAAGAAATATTTCATTCTTTCCTTTTATACAAAACATTTTAAAATCACTACTATGTATTGTATCTCTTTCCTCACTTGAAACTGAAATTGTGTACAAAGAATTACTTAATTTATAGGCATAGGATCCATGTATATAAGTACTTATATACTCGCTACATTTAATACTACTGTTAATTTGACAGCAAATTCCATTGGGATTCTACTTAGCTGGATAATTTTACTTACCACGTAGCTTAGGTATGTAGTTTGATTTTATGTTTAAGGACAGCATAAACAAGTTTAAAAGTCAATTTTTATTTCCTTCATTTACAAAGTACTTCCATCAAAAATATCTGGGAATGAAGAATATGGCAATAAAATTTTATTGAGGAAATAAAAGTAAATGAGAAAAAGTATTTGAGTGCGCATTTAGACCGTGTGATATGAGGCTGCCAACCCAAAACCTGCGTACTGTCGCCAATTTTTAAACAGAGTAATTAGCATAAGAATGTGTCAGTATTGTATACTTTAGTACAGAGAAGCTGTAATACTTTTACTCATAACTTTGGCAAATAGTAAGTGTATTCCATTAAATGACCCATCATTTTAAAGCTTATAATGTGGGCAATAAGATATTAAAAAGTCAATTTTTATTTTTTAATCACTGATGCTGGTTTTGGGATGGATTTGGCGACGATACATAGCAAAAATAGTGATGTGGTGAAAACAATTTTATTTTTATTTCATGTTGTTCAAGACCACCTTTATTCTTTTATACTTCTTTTACCATCTTTTTTGTACATTTAACTCAAAGCAAGCTTTATATAGGAACTTTAGGCAAGTACTCAGTCAGACAGAAGCTCCTAGTTTAGTGGATTTATTTTTTTTCTACAGTGTTGGAAGTCGAGGAAGGGTACTACGCATTTTTTTTAATGTAATTCATTAATATTAAATCGTACAAGCCATCTAATTGAGATAAGATTAGTCAATGATTTTACTGAAAATGTGAAGACAAAACAATATTCAAGAACCTTGTTATATTATGTATTTGTTACTAACTTTTGCTTTATTTCTATAATGTTCTTTTTTCTGTTACATATTTATTTTTCGCCTTGAGTTGATTAATTTAACTTTCAAATTTGTGATTGATTTGTTCGATTATCACTCATTAGTCAGATATAATAGAAGTAAAGTATTTTCTCAACCTTACTATATGTTTTAGACCAGGCTATTCCAAGTTATGGTGAAATGAAAGGATAAAATCTATGGTTGGATAATCAATTTGAAGTGTGTATCAGGTGGCTTCAAACTGACAGATACGTGCCATCAATGAAATCACAATCGTCTGTCAGTTATGACAGGAGTGGTACTAACCAACCATGGATATTATAATAATGTTTATTGTAAATTTGTGACCAACGAAATTTCCTGTTATATGATGATGCAAGTTTGCGCAGGTCAATATTGATCCTGTTTGGTTTTTAAATTGATAAAAATTTTTGTATTAAAATATATTTTTTGTCTTTTTTTTAGTTGAATGGAGTGTTCAAGAAGACTTCAGCCAGTGTTCTGGTGAACATATACTATACAACAACACAAATCTAAGTTACAAGATACAGGGTCTGGTGGCTGGTAAACGGTATTTTGTCCGGGTGTCAGCATTCAATTTGAAAGGGTTTGGTATCCCGCAGCTTGCTACACCACCGTTCGCAATTCCATCATGTAAGTTTTAATCTGTTTATAATAGCAATAATGGTATGATAGTCGTCGTCGGCTTTTCCTTGTTTTCGGGAAATTTTTTTTTAATTGTAATTCCTCATATGTGTTGATGCCTCTAGCAATGTATTTGTTGTGGAACAATTCTCCCATTTCCGTTTTCCCTCTTCAAAATGTTCAGCACCGCTTTTAATAATGTGACGCCGCAATATGATAACATCGATGATGAAAGTATACGGACACAACATTTCACTAAGTCTAATGTGAAAAAAGACTTAGTTTAGTATTTTTCAAAGGCATGTCAGGACAGTCATTTTTTATTTTAACCCACTTGGTGGAACTAAATTGCTGCCATTATTGGATGGGGGTTGTGTGTCCACTTCCTCTCCCCCAGCTGACACCCATGAAATGCTATCATTTCCATAGTAATTAATTTTGATTTGTTATATTCCTAGGTTGGCGAGATAGAGATGGAAGGAAATCAAGAACTAGTGGGCAGATGAAAGTTCTTGAAGACTTATTTAAAGAAGTGAAGGATGCAAGGCTTCCACATTCAGTCGAGTTAAAAAGTATGTAATCTAACATACAGGTCTCCCTCCAATTAAAAACCACTTTTGTTACCAGGGTTTCCATGGTCTATAGCAGTTTTGGTCTCTGAATTAGAATAATAAAAATAAAAGACATTTGTTGTTATGGGACCACAGAAATGTGCTCTTTAATTAGAGGGTTTTTCAACTAGAATGAGACCTGTAATTTACATAATATATAATTCTATTATATCATATGCTATAATAAATAATGATTACGGTATGCATTTTGTATTTTAATAGTGCACTCTATTTTTAAATAATGATATATAAATTTATATTTGCCAATTATTCCTATATTTATACTTTTGTAATTTTATATTTTAAGATTCAAGATTTCATTTATTGTCATAGAACAAGCAAAGTACATGAAATTTGCTTTCCAGAGTGAGGAATACACAAAAATATACATACATTCAGTCACACAATTCAGCATATATATGCTGAAATGAAATGTTGTTTTTTTTTGTGTGTGTGTGATTTTTTTTTTTGCTATATAAATATACCCAAATATATACATTTGAATCTTACATTTGAAAAATTTTCAACAAATGACAATTATATAAACAGTTTTATTTATTGTATTAATGAATGTTGTATGATGATTTCTTGTGCAGCTAATTCACCAAAATCTTCCCCAAACCAAGTTCGCAAAACAATGAAGAAAAGCATAAAGAACTTCTTCCAGTTTGCGCCTAAATTCCACAAGTTGCTGAAACGTGCTGTGTATGTGTGCACGCTGCTGTACAGCGAAGATAAGGTACTAGTCACAACCGAAGATCACCTGCCAATCGTTGAGGTCGATGATAATTACCCTAGCAACATGTATCAGGATTTCCTGTGGTTTATGAAGGTGATTAATGCACAGTTACTTCATAATACATAATACAGTAATAATAATAATAATAATAATAATAATAATAATAATAATAATAATAATAATAATAATAATGTATAGGTTTTTAATAAAACACCCTATAATAATCTCTCAGAGCTCCACACACAAAAATGAACAAATAAAAACAAAAAAAATGACGTATTAAATATTAAAAAGATGCCTCTCAACGTTTTTCATCGTTTTCATAATTTTTCAGTCATTAGCCCTTTATTTTTATTATTTTACTTAATTTATTTTTTTTAAATTTTTTTTTATCCACTTTATTTAGACTGTATAGTGTTTATAAATATATTATATTCTTTCAAAAACAGGTTGCTTGTACATGGGAAGATGTGGACGTATTAAGGGGGGATCTTGAGAAGGCTCTGTCCACTTCACCTAGCCTAATGTTTCGCAATAAACTACTCCAAGCCGTGGCTCTGATGCAGACGACGCTTGGAATCCAGGACCTAGGCCAGGTGTACTACGAGCCGATACGTGACGATAATGGCAGCACTATTTTTGTTCTTGTTAAGCATATAAAGGTACGGTTCCCAAAACAACTGAAATGTATTTCTTGAAATTATTAGCAAATTGTTTAAAATAAAGTTTTTAGATTGAATCTAGACAGCAGTATCGCTAATAAAATTTAACTGGAATAAGTGACGTGCAGTTAAAACATTGTCACTGGTATTACATAATGTTGTTAGGGTTTTGAAGCAACGCAATTTAAATACCATATAGCAAGTACAGTTGAACACCGCCATTGGGACACCACTATTAAGGGAACAAAAGGACACCTTTTTGGCCACAAAACAAAAGAAACAAAGTAACACTACGAACGACCAAAATTTAGGGGATACCCCTATTAAAGGGACACTATTTCTGGTTCCAAAAATATTCCCTTAATAGGGTTTCTACTGAATCAGAATAATGCCGTCATTCTTACTGGTTGGTAGTTTATTTTTCCAATTACTATGTAGTTATTGTGATATCTTACAGGACTCACGGAGTGTGCAATCAGCTAGTTTAAAGTGGCTGAATCTTGGACGTGTCCAGAAACGGCGCTCGGTCTGCTTTGAAAATCCCACAGCCTCTGAAATACTGCTCTCATCCATTCCAGTAAGTATGCACTTCATTGTATTCCACATTCACTGCCCTTCATGTTTGTTATGCTGTACATAAGCATTTGGCTGTATTTTACGTATGAAGGAAACGAGAAGCCTAGGCCTACCTCATTTCAATCGATTGAAAGGTACATTAATCATTTATCGATCATGACATGATTTCCATTATAATGTTCAGTGCCAACCTTGAAAGGTCACTCTTTACATTATTGAATTCGTTTATCTTTTGTTCAGTATGTTTTTTTTTTATATGCTTGAAATTTCCCTTCAGTACTTTTAATATGCATCAATAATATATTCCTCGAATTGTAAAGTCTAAATAATAGTGTGACTAATATGATTACAGTTTCAGTTATAAATATGTATATGTATAGCCAAAATTTTATATTTAAATAAAATAATAATGCCAATCCATAGTACAAATGATGCCTCTAAATTACTTTGAAAAATCATTGAAGTATATTTAAGTGTTTCCAATGTTAATGGTTTTTTATTATGTACTTATTGTATAATGTTTAAATTTTTGTAGCCATTTCTGATTAGCAGCAGACAGTTGAAAAATAAATTGATCAAAAATTCAGTCTGGCTTTCATGTATTTTATCCATCTTCTATAACCTGATACTGTGCGGTCTGTTGTGCGATGAATTTCTAATAATGATAATACATGTGTAACAGTTCCCTCAGGTGCAAGTCAAGACATTACTTCATATAGATTACATCATTATTCATTAAATCCCTTCTAGTGTATGCTGATAATAGTTAATTCATTATAGCTTTAAAGAGGCTTCGAAAGCAAAACTGAGATTATTTGGTTAAAAAATTAATATTTTTTAGTGAAAAAATTAAATTTTATAATTTATTTTCAGGAGAAAATATTCTTTAGTCAGGTGAACCAGATGCCTCATGAGAAGGGTTTATACTTAGGGTACATGAAACTGCGAAGCTCTGTGGACACAATACGAATCCAGGTTCAGGCGAAATCACCCAACGTACTGCCATGTGTCAAGGTTCGCGACAATTCCAATGTCACACAAGATGAATGGGATTGGCTGTACCAACTCAATACTAGCAAGGTAAACTTATGAGGGCAGTGTTCATGTTGCAGCCGTTTTATTTTTGTTACTAAGTTTGCTACGCAACGAATTAATCTATAATTCAATCATCATTTTAATAATGATGATAATAATAATTGAAGGATAATAGAAAAAAATAATGATAGAAACGCTATGAATTTATATAGTGCCAATTTCAAATAAATTATCAAAGGTAGTTAAGCATTGTTACCCCTGTTCCTTGGATGATATAAATTGGCAAACCAGCACAAAGTGCAACCGTCTCTGCTCCTAGGGGACTATACATAGTCATGCAGCTCAGCACATGAAATTAGTACATTCAATGCTACAACATCCTACCAAGTACTCATTTATACTCCTGGGTGGAGAGAGACAATGTTGATCCCAATGGCACAATTAAGCAACATGCAAGGTAAGGCTTGAACCCTGATCGGTCAAGCCTCGACCATTGCAAACTGCTTCTGGTACTGTCCCATTCATGTTTTAATAAATTGTATGATAATGTTCACAGGTCACCAAACCAGTTACAAAAGTACAAGAAGAATTCCAATTACAACTAGCAGATGCCGCCAGAACTCTTGCTAAGAAGATTGGTGTAAGTGAAGAAGAGACACTGAAACATCGGCTATGTGATTACGAGGTCATTGACCTTAATGATGAGGTACTTTGTAATGTTTTAATTCGAATTCATTTAAATGAAGCATGATAATCATTATCCCCATTAAAATTATAATCATTATTATCACTCATTGTGATAGGCACCACCGTCAATTCATTTGGATGGTTCTTGGAGATTCACCAATATACCTTACCTTACTGTATATGGAGGCAGATGCAATTACTACAAGATTATTGTTTCATCAATCACCACCCTAATTATATGTCACCATCATTACCATTCGTCTCCATATTCATCCCCACCACCATATCCATTTTCATCACAACTACCATCATACCCATCTTAATCCCCACCACCATATCCATTATCATCACAACTACCATCTTCTCTATTATCATGTCACTACCACCATCATCATCTTCATCACTAAAACCATCATTATCTCCATCATTATGTCACCATTATTGTCTCATCATCACTACAGCTATCATCTTTATCACTTACCACCTCTACTACCATCATTTCTACCACCATCTTCATCACTACAACCATAATGTCCATGTCATTTCCACCAACTCCCTCCACTACAATTATGATCTTCATGTCATTACTACTATACTATTATCATGTAATCTGATGATTTACATTTTTGCTTTTACAGGTGTCATTTATCATAATGGTGCCACCTGTATCTGATGTCTGTACTGGACCTGGACACCTGGATAACAACTTTATGCGAGGAAGTGAATATGTCTCCCTACCAGTACAAGTATTTGAAATGGGTTAGTATTCTGCAATGATATAATTATGATTGCTTAATTTAAATAGTTGTTTCATTCCTTCCAGCGGCATAACTCAGTTGGTTAAACTGGCAGTAGCCACTGTGTGTACATTGAACTGTGGATATCCACTGTTAACCTTTAGCACATTTAGTATAATTGATTAAGTGAATAAATTTAGGCCTGTAGTAATATTAATCTTTTTCGTTGCAGTTCACACGACAACCTACCACAATGATTTCATACGCTACTATTCCCGATTGTCGTCCATCTTGGAAATGGAGAACCTATTAGCTCAACAAAGCGTCCGTGAGGCATTCCATACGGTGGAGATGAATGATGCGAAACAAAGGCAGCAACAAATAGCTGACTTCCAGCAGGTGTGTGTGCATCAGTTCAGCTGTACTTTAGCTTCCAGATATTGTAGTCCAGCCTTAGCATTAAGTGGGCTCAGCTTTCGGGCTGGAGGGCTCAGGCCAGCCTCTGCATTGGTATGGGGAGGGGGAGGCGTGGACTGGAAATCTTGCTGCAACTGTTTCTCTGCATTTCAGAATTTAAAATCTGGCTTAAATTGTTTTTGGCAGTGGAATAGGTTACCACATGTTTACAAAGTGGAATTTGTAATAGGTCTATCATGTTTCTAAATTTAATTGTTTTCTTTGTTATTATTTTTATGTTTTCTGTCTGCATAATCATTAATTCTATTTTAACAATATTTTATAGACTTTGGAAAGTGCCTGGAAGGGAACTCGCTGGATAATGGACGTCATCCAATACGCCAGGGATAAGCAACTGAAAGGTGGTGTCCCCTTATCGGTATTATTTGCCCCACCCCCATCACCGGTAGAAACGCAAGCCATGGATACACTTTCTAAAGGAAAGGGCTTGTCACATGATAAGGACAAGCATGATTCGAAATACTCAAGCCGCAAGATAAGCAGAGCTAATATTGGTATTCTGAGGGTGTACCCTGCCTATGATACAGGCTTAGCATCTGGTACAAGTGTCAAGGTTTGTAATCAAACAGCCAATCTTTTATTTTTATCTTTAACAGATGCCTGACCATGAGATCGTCTTTTTGAGGCATAATATTAATGAAAATTGAATAACATCATGCCAATATATATTTATATTGTGTATAGTGGGCCTTTGTTGATTTCTATATTAATAATTAAATATAAATAATATAAATGTAGACTAATATAAATACATTTCGCAGGCCTATAAGAGGTGATATTTTATTACTGTTTGTTTTGGACAAAGGTCGGCAAAGTGTAGCCAATGGGCCCCATGAGGTTTAATACTATTAAGCATTTGCTTCAAAAATTACTTCAGTGAAAGTATATGAAAAAGGGATATTTTATCATAAAAAATTGGTAATCCTAATGTTTATGATGTCATTTCAACCATTATGCAATCAATTAATTATTTTTTTCATTAATTATTATCAGCTTCAAGTGACAACACGGACGTCTTCTCGTGAGATAATCAATTTAGTGATTGAGCAGCTCAATAAAGCAATACAGGTTCGTGGATTAGAGGCGCATATTTACCCAGACGAGGAATGGCAAAATTTTGGCCTTGTTGCAGCTATCAGCGGCAAAGAGCATAGTTTACCAGATGACTTCAACCCTCTAGTATTGCAGAACCCTTGGACTAAAGGTAAACTTTACATAAAACACAAAGAAAAAACCAAAATAAAAATCAAGTCCAACAGTATGGTGTGAACATCGCAAACATATTTAGAGTGGAGGATTGTTTCGCGGAGTACGCCTAATCGCTATTGTGTGTATCAAGCTATGTAAAGGTTGTCGGTTGCTATTTGTAACAGTGTGATACAAGATAAGAACTTAAAGATATGCAACTGTTGTATGCTCATATTTGGTCATGGTGTTCCTATATTTGGTCGTGATGTGATGTCTTTATGACCATATTTAGGCATATCACAGGGCTTAGGCAGTTGAAAAGCTGCGTTCCAACACTGGCCTGACTGATCCATGTATGGGCGGTTATAATAAACACTAAATAGTGAGTCAACATTCCTGGCAGTGAAACAGCTTGTTAATGGAGTACTTGAGTCGACCATCTGTAGTCTTTGTGGACATAATAAGTGGACATTTAGTAGTATGAGGTCCTTGCATTGTCCTGAGAATTGGTTGTTTACGTAGTAGCACAGCGAAGAATATATAATTATTTGAAAGAAAATGGATATGAATTAGACCATCTTTGTTTGCACATTGTTGTAAGTTAAATTTAACAAAAAAAAAAAAAAAATGCATTGCATATTAAGTGTTTTTTCATTTGGCCTCTCCAAGGAATATTGAAGTGTGTGTATTCAGATGTATTTCGTGTATTCAAAAAAGTGAAAATAACTCAACTTTTTTTGTATAACATTTAGCAAGATTTTGAGAAACTGTTTATAGGAGCTAAATATTCAACCATAGCATTCTTATTACGTTTTAACATGCTGCTTATGTTGTCTTTTTTTTATTATTGTTTTTGTAGAGGTACTGTACTACATTTAGAAAATAATAATGTATACTGAGTTGTTTGTTCAGATTGCTATTTATACTTTTTTTTCTAAATTAGTGAGGGTGATCAATTTGGGAACCAAAATGCTCTCTGTGAGAGAGTTTGAGCTTTGAGGGATTGCATTTATATTTGGTTATGTGAATATGTAGGTAAATGTTTTTGTACACTAATTTATATGTAGATAAATATGTATATATTATATATATGAATATAAGAATATATTTAATGTTAGAAAGCATTTTTTGAAGGGACTAAAACTGAAAAATGTTGAGAAGTGCAATACAAGTTTATAATTTGAGTTTAGAGATTTTTCTTATTTTGAAATTTGTAAAAGAAGTTGTTTATTAAGTTATTTCTTAGTGTGTGAGCATTGAGTATGTAGTAAAAAGTGTGCATTGTTGAAATATAAGTACCAAAGTGATAAAATCACGGACACACTTGCTTCCAAAGGGACATCACGAGTAAAGTGTGGATCTTGTCATTAGTATGAAACAAGGCTATGTTTCTCCATCCGTGTTAGGGCAAATAGAAAAAATTATTAGATTATCACTCCCGCCCACGTCAAAAATTTAGGAAACATTGATGCGGGAATAAAAAAAATTCCTTTTTTGCCGCATCAATAATTTCAACAGCATAAAAATAACAATGCAATTTTGAGAAACTATAAAATTAGACCAGTTTTTATTTACCATTACAGGCTAAATATAAACAGTCCCTCCCTCATCGATAAAAACAAGCAAAATAATCTATTGTTCTGATTAAACAGTCCCTCCCTCATCAATTAAAAAAAAAAAAAAAAAGTGATAATCTAATAATTTTTCTACGTGCCCTTAAGAGTGTAAACTCTAGTTATCCTTCAGCTGTTAATATTTGGTGCATAGAGATAATTGTATTAATGTGCCTTATAAATAGATTGATTGATTGAATGAATGATTGATCAGGTATGAATTCAGGACATAGGGATTGTAAGCTTAGCCTGGTTTCCTTAAAATCGCTACACTGTCACTACAGTGTTTTCAGTGTGTACTACGTAGCAGTCCTGGATTCAACCAGGAAGGTTCCCAAAACCGATCAACCAATCAGCATCAGTGAAAGCTTCAGCGATATCGCGTAGCGATTGTATGGAAACAAAGCTTAAGAACTCCTCTCAAATAATATTAAATCAAAAGCCTTCTCATAAATCATTAGATACCAAATTAATAACAAACAGAAGTTAATCATTTAAATGTAATATTGTACAGAATGATACTGAGAAAGCAGGCTATACATTTTTCACGTTTTAGAATTTATGCCAGCTACTGAAATGAGTAGCATATGTATGACAGTTAAATATGATGTGCTTAAGTAAAATGTTCAAGAAATAAAAACTGATAAATTAATTCATTCTTTATTTTGTCTTTTATACAATTTTGTACATACAGTGAAATAAAAACAAGACACAACACTTAAAATTGGGGAAGGGGATTGATGATTATCGGAGGTGGTGTGAGTCTAGCTTACAAAATAAAATGATATAAAAAAAATGGATTCTAACATAACATTTGAACATAAAATTCTCATGGAATATCAAATCTCAATCTCAGTACCCTTTTCCTTGCTGTTTTGCACCCCCTCCCTTCTAATGGTATGTGCCAGGAATTATAATTTTCTTTGGCATATTTGGCTTTATGATTAAACATAATTAATGTTGAATAATGTTGAAAGGAAACTGAACTAGCTTTTATATCATGCCTTGTACTAATTATTATTATTTTGTTCTTATGAGGAAGGAATGTTGAAGTTTAATTTGTAATACAGTGTATGATGTTTAAGTGAAAGCAGTTATTAATAATAATAATAATAATAATAATAATAATAACAGGAGTGACCGCTCACCAGGTCCGAGCATTCCTCCATGCTTAAATACGGTAAAAGCGCAAGCTATTATATGCAGGTACTGTATTGGGGTTTTTTTGGAAGAGCTAGTTAATAAGATAGAAATAAATTAGAATGTTTATTTGTACAAAAAAAGAAAAAAATATTATTTAAAATAAATCACATCCTTAAGTACTTCAGAAGACACAACACAGACACGCCATTCATGCGATGAGTCCTATATAGTGGTAATGGCAATAATGTACAATAATTTTTAAATAATTAGAATGTTTATTTGTACAAAAAAAATAAAATTGGAAAATAAAAATTGAATACCAAGACATAATTTTTCTAGGGTCCAACTTAAAAAAAAGGGCGATAAACTTTTGTTGGAAAATCACCTCTCGTTTATGTGTAAAAAAATTCATTGGATGGTTTTGGATGGATGCTTTTAAAGTTTTGGTAATGCACTCCCCCGGACCCGGGCCATAACGGGGCACTAGCTTTTTAAAGCTTGAAACCCCTGTTTTATTTTGTAGGTGTAGGGAAACCCTGGGGTCCAAATTAAAATAGAAGGGTCCAAATTAAAAAAGAAGGGGAGATGAACGTTTGTTGGAAATCTCCCCTAGTTTATGTGTAGAAAATTTCATGCTGGTACGTTCAAAACTGGCGACGATGGACGCTTTTAAAATTTTGGTATTAACAAGAACAAAGAACAAAATCAGAACAGAGGAGTGAGGCTCTGGGTCAGCATAGAGAGGGCGGCAGACTGATAATTTCTGTTAGGAAGAGGTTATTCGCACGGTACCGTGCGAATTAGGAATAAGAACTTATTCGTACGGTATGACAGCCGTTACGTCATGAAACCTTAAATGCTGATTGGCTAGGTCTACCGTGCGAATAAGACGGTACCGTGCGAATAAGACGGTACCGTGCGAATTGTCGAAACAAATTTATTCGCACGGTAGAATGTTGGATAGATATACTGTATGATAATTATTTCACGGCATACCGTATGAGTTGGGCACAGCACAGACAGTCGGTTCGATCATGGAGTTATAACTCCATGATTCGATAACCCTAACTGAAGTGCAATAGGTCCTAGCTTAGCATTGTGTCTGCAGACTTTTTACACTTCTTTAAGCTATCCTTGAGAAATTGGCATGAAAAAAGCGTTTGTGGAGTATATGTACTGGTGGTATTATAATCCCCTATCATAGGGCCTAGTAGTGATGTTGATTTTTGTTCCATTCAAAAATATTAAATGGGGAAACAAAAGAAAATTAATTACTTAGCACCAACCCATGATGGGAATTGGAACAGAGGAGGATGAGAGGATGCCAAACTGATGCAAAATTACTCGATTTTATGTGCAGTTTTAATAGGGTTTTAATTTTGTGGGCTGCAGTCGTGCTGCAATTAGCCCACCTGTAGACTCACAAAAATATTAAAATTATCTAAAACTTTCATCCTGTGTTTCTCAAAGCATTAAAATATATAAGATAAGAAAAAAAAATAGCAAAACGAGCTTTCACCCTGGCCAGGAATCGGCGCCCTAGTCATTCCTCCCCGACTATCCCTATCCATTCCATGCAAGGTTATGCACCAAGCAAGACCATTAACTATAGGGTTCACTAACTCGGTCCTAATTTGAAACAAATGAACCGAGGGAGGAAAGCACCGTGACCTCTAAGCCATAAATGCGGAGAACCTAGCACTACAAAGTACCTGTCAGTCGAATCTTGAGAACTTGCCAGAAGAAATTATGCTGTCGACTGAAATGAGTTGAAATTATTAGCATAATGACAGTTAAACATGGTATGTTTAAGAAATAAAAACTGATAAATGAAAATTGTGTGCTCATTCATTCTTTATTTTGTCTTTTATAAACGTGAAAATACAATGTGTACATACAGTAAAATAAAAACAAGAAAATATAATCAAAACATGACAGTTTAAATTGGGGGAATTTGATTGATGATTATGTTAGGGGCGGTAGGGCTAGCTTCCAAAGTAAGGTGATAAGTGATTTTTAAAAAAGGAATTCAAATAAACATAAATAAATATCTCGCAGGGACTTATCCAAGGAGGAGCCGTGTTCCCCACTCCCACTCACTTCCCACCTCCCCACCTTTGTACACAGTGTTACAATTTTAAAACTTGTTCTTGCTAGTCATTACAAATCACTCAAATGAATACTTCTAAAATGTATAAAAACAAATAGTCAAGTCAAATAAGCAAGAAAACAAAACCCAGTAAAAAAAAAGAAAAAAAAAACAGCATGTAAAACAAGGTTCAAAGATCCAGCCCAAGAACAATTGAACAAAATTTGGTGTAACCATAAAAAAAAAAACATATCGACATTAGTCATGGATGTAATATAATTGTATTGGACATGAAGTCTGGTAAGCTACGTTTGCTTTGTTTGTTTGTTTTTTTCGTTTGTTTTGAAGAGTTAGGTTTGTTTTTTTACAGTATTGTTTCACAAAAATCGTTTTAGTTCTCAAAATATAAATGGTATACTGTATTCAATTCAAAAATTAGTGGGTTCTTAAGTTAGTGTGTGACGCAGTTTCATTAAATTAAATACAAAACAGATTTTCAGAGAGTCATTATTGTTCTAAATTCTTTTATCTTAAGCAACCGAATTGTTGTAATATTTATATACTTATTTTTTACTTTAAATTCATATTATATATGTTCTTGAACAAAACAAACAATAAAAAGATAAACAGTCTTCGACATACTAACAATTTTAGAAAAAATTAATTCAAATTATTTATATTTTCTAATTTAAAACTGGAATGAAAGAGAAATGATGGTGGCTACCAATAATGATTAAATAATGATATGACATTCTAAAAATAAAGTAAGCTAATACGATTAGA